AGAAAGAATTCAGTTAAATAAAGAAGTTTAAATATAACTTAGTCTGTTTATTATATACGTTACTTATCCCATAAATGTTAGTTTTGAACGTTATATAATATCAAGTTTACGTTTAATAATTGGCTGTTGAGTTTATAATTGGTTGTCTCGGGACATAGGTTTATCATTTGCTGTGAGCTTGCCGACTTGATGACTTGCGACAGACGACCTACAGGTAATTGTAATACATTGTCGTTAAATTTATGACCTGGGGTTCAACACTAATATTATCATTGACTTGACTTATATTTTGAAAGACTAGAAAAGTTATATATTAGTGTCGAAGATATGAAAAATGTTGTTACTTATATAAATTATATAAATATTGTAAGAAGATGAAGCTACTATATTATATTGAAAGTGGAATAAGAACTAAGTAACTTCTATTCAGAACTTTCCATTCAATGATAATTGGTACTCGAATAAAATGAAGTTTACAAAGTTGAAACGGTGAAATCTACCTGATAAGTAAAAAAATATCGTCTTTAAATCTCCTTCAATCTTCGAATCGATCTCTGGGCCTTTCATAGCTGTCAATTTTTGTACAAAAAGAAAGTTTTGCAAGGATTACTCTGGCTTTCGAGTTTTATAAAAATGGAATCCAATTATTCCCGACGTTTCAGACATTTTAACATTGTCTTAGTTAACTAAATTTATTCAGGCCTAAAGCTGAAAAATTGAAATTGAGGGCACTTTTTCATTTTAATGAAAATGAGCACGTCTTATAGGTTAACGGGATATTTTGTAACCTACCCGAGAGAAGTTTATTCAGTCGGTGCCATCTTAAAATAACCCCAATTTAGATGAAAATCTTTCTTGAGATATGACAGTTTTGATGGAAGATGTTCCAAACATCCATACATATAATAAAGTATTTCAAATTGTGCGTAATTTTATATCATATATATATAAGTAGATGGTATAAATATCAAGAATATTACATTCAATACTATTGGAAGGAAAGAAATAAGAATTAATTTAAAACCTACCACAAAAAAATCTATATACACGGCCTAGTAATCTCGGGTTATAGGCTGTAAATAAATTAATTGCCAGCGGTCACAATTTACGGCTTTGTCTGGGCCAGCAGTTTGGATGAGTTTGTCAATGTTGTAATGAATGGCAAAGGTCACTGGAGTTCGGCCAAGAGAAAGGATCGTAAAGACCTCACGGCGCCACAATTTGTGCACCTGTCATAACTTGTCAAACGTATTGCTTTATAAATGTTTGCATAATACGGTAAGTTATTACACGACGTATACCTTGTTGGCTTCGTAAATATTTGTTGCACTTAACTTGTACATACTGCTTCACGTCGATTTAAGTTTCAATGAAGGTGTCGAAATGAATTTATATTAATTTAAGTTTTATTTTATGTAGAGGAAATATTATTAGTTTTGGCTACAACATATATTAAAGAATGGAGTCGATTCCATATTTAGTAGTTTAAATTATATTCAATTTATTAATAGATAAAATAAAAAGTTAGAAATTATGTAACCATTTCATAAAAATGATGACGTCACATTTTAGAGTTTCAATTAGATTCCTGAAATATAAAATCAAAACGTGACAAAAAAAAAGCGTAAACAAAACAAAATACAAAATACAGAGTCGTCTAAGTAAAAATGAAAAGAATAAAAAGTAAACCAGCGAGATTACGTTGTAATATTTTGGAGTGAAACCGACTGCATTTTGTACATCTATTTTGTTTGACACCGAGTTATTTTCTCCATTAACAAGTTAATATTTTTGTAGAACAAACATTTGAGAATAAAATGATATTTTATAACATTACTTTACGATATTTCCTAAAATATCTATGACATTTAAAAGTATATATTGTGATTTATTTATGTGTAGTGTATTTATCATATTCATCAAAATTCGAGAATTCAAGAAAAGGGTTTAATAATCTTTAACATAATACAATAAATAATATTTAAAATAGACAACATCAGTCGTTCAAATCATATAAATTTAGTGAATGCATTTAAATTATTTGAAACTCTTGTGACTCTTAATAATGGAGTACTGCACGTCATTTAACTCACGAAAAAAAAACAGGGCCAGCACAATAACCATGAAAGGCTTTTGTTGCCTTCGCAAAAAAGACACGACTCAGAAGTTGTGTCATAAAAAGGCCGTCGAGAAGGCATGTTATTAAACGAATAAGTTTATAGTTTCCATAAAATATCCCCAACAAGACCCCGGTAATATGACGTAGCTGGGTATTCTAAAATATATCCCTGGATCTGAGACATCACGATTTACTCTCATGAGATAAGTGTTGGAGAAGGTCCATTCATTATAAATAATACACGCCATACAAACAATGCTGGCAGTTCATTCTGTTTAATTTATATCTTTGATACTATTGATAGTTGAAGTATCACTTAATTTCAATAACATCGACATATAAGATAACGTCCCATATTATTTCACATTTAATATCCTATAATATTACCAAGCGAATGGAATTGGGCAGTCCGATAATTCCTTTAACAGCGACAACACAAAAGGCCAGCCCATCGGATTTGCTCGCTACTTCGCTTAATGACGTTTTTGTCTGCCCTGTCTCCGCGCCCGTAATCTTGTATTTCGAAATTATTGATCCGAGAGAATTTTCGGATTAGATGTGTTAATATTATTTTGAGCATTTTCCTTTGTGCCCGATATACTTTTGTCCTGTATTGTGCCGTTTCGTTATCCGTCCGGTACAATAAACTAAAACGTAGTTGAAGTTTACGCGGTCACTGACTACTAAATATAATCAAATCAATATCTCTTTTCAGATTGATATTATTGTACGTTTAGGAATGTATGTTTGATATTTATTTACAAAAGGTATAGATTGCATTGAACGTTTTGTTTGTTTAGTTATTATTAGATATGTATGTATAGTTCATTTTTACTTCATATTCTGTTATTAAGTCCACAGCCTGAATTCGCCCAGTGTATTCTAAACTTAAGATAGTAAGTAACTCCACATCGTTTATCCAAAGCCATTTATTATGCAACGATGATATTTAAGATATTTAATAAAAAAGACTTCCTGGTCCGATTAAAAAAATTGTCTGAGAACTGCTTATATTTAAAATGCTCATGTAATATTATAAAGGAGTTTCTATTCTATATTTCAATGTTATAATTATATTCATTCAAATGTAGACCATAAAAGCAAGGATTAAGATACATAATAATGTTTCCATTATGTAAAGATAAATCATGTTTCATGAAAGAAATGTGGCTTCATCGTGATATGAAGTCGCCTTTTACGAGAATTAATACCGAGCTTCCGTAAGCAAAGAGAGAAAGGCAGTAATAGGATATTGGGATTAACTTTGTTATATAATATTGATTTATAGCCACAGAACACGTGCTCCATATACTCATAATACCAGCTTCATATACTTATTTCACTATTAATAATGATAACAGTCTATTCATGAGCGAGGATTTCAGTTGTAGATTATGTTGAATTGAACTCCTTTTTTGATGTACTTAATAAAATATTCCAAGATAAATATCATACGTTATTCATTATTAATCTAGCGTATATATAAAAGGATCAGGAATCATGTAGATATATTCATTATTACATGGAGCCAAACCAATCTGAGTAGTGGACTGCATCGCGTAACCACTAATTAAAACTCAAGCGCTGGCCTCAACACTCAATTTTGGACTTTTTGTTTGTGCATAACTAACTTCCTTCGCATTTATTGTCGGACTATTCCATTATACGTACGAATGTTCCGATGTCCAGCTTAAAGTTTAATGAGCTCGGATATTAGGTCGAAATTAAGTGGGGGTTAATTAAATGTTATTACCAAGTCGAACGTGTATCTGTAAAAATTGTTTGAAAGAATACATCATTAACTAATTTCGTCCTTTGAATTATCTGTATATAATTTATAATGTTAGTTATATTACTTAATACATGTTCCTTGGTAATAATAGTCAACTTTATAGTTGTCTGTTAAAACGTACGCTGTAATAGGTTAGCATCATATATGACGAGGGTCGTTGACATTTAGGCTTTAGGGTTCACGAAAATCTATAATTTTATGATTGATTCATTACATGTGAAATATGTATGTACATCCACATTGTAAATCAAGTTTATACAAAGTTATAATAAGATATTTTATAATCATGTATAAATTTTAAATATTAAACTATCCGGAGTAAAAATATGAACAGTCATATAAGAATTTCATTAAAGCTTTCCGTATGTATAAAACTGTATATAATTATGTAAATTTCATTGAACTAACCCGCATACAGATGATACATTAGGGATGTGATCGCGGCCAACGAACACACTTGTAAAGCAATACAGTGGAGTGTTTGCGGACAGTGTCCGATGAAAATGTGTGCGATGTTTTCAACGTGGATTAAGAGCGTTCCGTTTTAATAGCCGATAATATGTACATCGATTGTGACACTCGATTGAATTCTGTCAATATGATTAATTTTAATTGTATCGAATATAGTGTTGATAAAATTCCTGAAATATATCCATCTCCAAATGATTCAGCGGCCATTCATTACCATTTAACCTAAACTTGGCTATTAAAGACATATGCGGCATAAAACAAGATAGAAACAACTAGTTTGAATGCTCTAAATGCCGTATAAACCCGCTACCCGCTTTAAGACCACGATTTAGTTTGGTTAAGGGTTGTCAAGTTGTAGCCAAGTTTTAATATATTGTTTATAATACTGTGATAATACTCTCGACAGTGGCTTGTTGGTTTTTACGCTGTGTTGTTTTAACATTACTACTCATCATTATTACTATTACTCAAACCACATATTTCAAATTCGTAGGTGACTCCTGATACGGTCAACAAAATTTTTCAAAGATATGGCTTCCAGATACAAAGAACATTCTAGAGCGTGAATGAAATTAAAATTTTGCTAATAATAGTGAGGTGAAAATACTTAATACTCACCGGCATAGTCTGACTGCCGTGAAGACTAGTGATGGCTGCTTGGGCCTCCTGGTGTGAACTGAATTTGACAAACGCGCACCCTGCACAAAATACGCATTATAAATTACAAACAATTTATAATAATAAGAATAGAATATACTATAAAATCATTATTAAAATTGCGAGGCTTCCAAAATGTTACCTTAAGTGTATCGTAATTATAATTATGTTGTATAATCCTATTAACATAAACACATTAAGGCCTCTTACTAAAACTATTCCTGACAGTCTATTCCAAACTGTCTCCCCAATGTGTCTCACACTTGAAAATGTCACATCATATTAATGTAATTTGCATACATTTGAATGAATAAGCTATGACAAAAGCTGTAAGGGACATTGAGTTCGTTTGAGAACAATGAGGTTAGGGACGATTGAAATTTAACATCGGTGCACTTAAATATTAATGTTCTAAGTACTGTTTAATTTTAATTACAATTAGGGACCTTTTGAGAATAACTTCCGATAAGATAACAAAAATTTTTGGACAACATCTGGGGATTAGTGAGTTACCGATGACGAACAGAGAACACGACAAAACAAAATTCAACAAGAGATTTCATAAATAGAAATCCACTCCATTTCCATTCGTCGCTAAAAGCATCTGCCGAAAAAGTTCACTAGTAAAAAAAAAATCTTAAACAACAGCGCGCATTGGGATTATCATTCAATTTTACAATAACAAGCTGTCAGTATCGGGTAGCTTATCAATCTTGCTTCCCGCAGGTGTGGTAAGTTAGACACGACATACGAAAAAATATCAACAGTAAAAAGTCGAATGTATGTACGTTTAATGATGACGGATGATTATGAAGATGTGACTGTCGAACCCAGTTTTGGATTCAACAACTAAATCACCAATGATCTCTGACACGTATTGCTCTTAACTCCATTTTCTGTGACAGAAAATTAGAAAGGCGAAAGGTGTTTTTACATTATTCTTTATCTGCCTCGTAAATCCGTGAAATCTTAAGCAATGCCTACTCAAATATTTTATGTCGTCTCATTGTGTTTACTTTTATGTTATGTTTTTCTTCGCAAACATCACTGAGCTTTCATTTATTGGGTTTTAACCTGATTTATTTATATGAATAACGCTCTTAAATCTGAAAAGAATAATCTATTAAAAAAATCTTCAAACTTATGTTTCATATTTTCTCTTACGTTTCATTTATCTATAAGAAATATATATTCAACAAAATAGAGATATTTTTAGTTTTAAATATTATTCCTGTTAATTATTAACTTTTAAATGACTGGGAAAATGAGTGGCTTCTTATTGAATCAGCGTCCATGGAATCTTGCGGCGAATAAAGAGTGTACCAAAGAGATTGCGGACTTTTATCTTTTGTGACAGTCTTCAAAGGAATTATGCTTGATTGGTTTCATTCGTTACGACTGCTTGGACACGCTTGATTTAGTTTCCTTAAAATTCACAACCATTTTTTCTGGTATTTGATTAAATAGCACATTTTATGTAACATTCCTTTTATTATACAGAAATTGCGATTCGTGTTACAAAGAATAGTTTCTTTTCTTTCAGTTTTCTATTGTAAAAATATTTAAAATGTAAGGGTATATTGAGATAAAAAGCGATAAAAAGCTACAACTTCTAAACTAATAATCGGACGCTATTTAACGATTGACGATATCAGAACGACGGGCTGGCGCCGCTACAATGAGATCCGACATTAAGGTAACGTTTGCAAGTGAGAACTCAAAAGTTTGAACTTTGAACTATTCACTGCAGGGAAACTTGGACGCAATTTGTAATGCTGTTATCGGGGCACGCATGGCGGCGTCGAGCTAAAGACTTGCCGTATTTGCGTCTAAAGCTTTAGAGTTTCCAGACTCGGTTATTTGCATTTTCGAACTATCGCCATGTATAATATATAATCGTTGAATATTAATTAATATATATAAATATTCTCATAGTTACATGTAAAATAATCTGATATCAAAACACACATGTTACATCAAAAGATATATTGAGGTAAACAGTATTTTCATCCGCCGCATTTCTGTTTATTCATAAAGGGATATTTTTTTCACAGTATTTTTTGAATGTCGTTTATTTTCTCGTGCAGGTATTAAAGCTGTTAGCAATAGTTGATATAGGCGTAAATTATTACGCGCTTCTGCTTTTTATTACGCGAGGGTGTTTAGAACAGTCTGTAGTCTGTACATATAAAATATTGCGTACACTGATTACATTACTACTCGTACATACAAAGAATAGTTCGTATCGATTGAGTTCTATAAATAGATTTTTTTCGTTTTTTATGTGTGAAGAAAATATTGGTAAGTTTCTATTATACAGGGTGACTGGTGAATTACTATCGATATTTGAGGACGTGATATTTGACGATCATATATGACAAAATAAAAATTAATATAACATAAATATTAATAAACTTCTAAGTAAAGTTAACCAAAAGTTATGTAATTAATTACGCATCGTATGAACACCCTACAGATTAGGTATACACACACACTCACACAGACGCGGCGGCGGCGTGTTGTTGTATCAGCACGCCGCCGCACGCGTCCACACATGGAACAGTTGGAACGTGTACACACTTTATTTATTTATACGGAAATTTGGTCAAAAATTAAGTACCTCTTTTTTTTTACATAATTCGAATGAGAATCATGTACCGAGTATGCTCCTTAAATATTGATAGTAATTCACCAGTCACCCTGTATATAAGATATGGGTATATTGCGAATATTGTATGTTTTTACTGAAACTATCGTGGGAGGGATCAATAATAACACATTTCACAGCCTATAACATGGGCCCGGCGTCCGTGCGTGTGGTGTGTGCAGGTAACTTGGCGGTCGTCCAAAGATCTGTTTTCCTGTTGGCATAGAACTTGCAGATCAGTTTTTATCACCCGAAAGGCCTTTATTGTCGACAGATACCGTCCGAAATGTTCTCGTGTCGCCAAATATTATTGGATGGTTTTATGTATCGGAAACATTATATTTTTAAAAGTTTGGCACTCGAACGCTTCGTATTTCAAATCTCGTAGAGATATGAAATAGTTTATTGCTTAATGGCGTCTTTATCTAAAGAGTTTATAACCCCGTGGCGTGTTTACTCTGATGTTTCTGTCGTTTTCAATTTTATATATAATGAGTGGTTGTTTTATCTTTGTAACATATAAATAAAAGAAGTGAAAACATGGTATTTTTTAACGAATTAATTAGATTTATATATTTAGATAGTTTAGTATTTATTACATATTGAAGAAATGAAACAATGAAACAGTTTTTCTAGGTAAAGCTGTGGCCAAAGAATTGTTTTAATATAAAAGTAATGTTATAAATTTAAAAATTGACTTCTAAGGTTATATATTGAGATATCCCTTACGAAATCAACGTTGGCTAATCAGTACAATGATAGTTATAAAATAACAGAAAAGAAAATCATCGTATAATACAGTAAATTATTAAAATGTAAGTTTTGTATTTGTATTGTAGGTCGTGGTTCTGGATTTGTAATCACAAGTTATCCGAACGCTTCACAAAAATGTCATGACTATGTAATTCCTCTCATTTCCATTTTGATGCGAGTTTAGTAACTCTAGGAATAGTGATTCCATACGCAAACACGACGTTTCAAAGAAAAGGTATGTTGAAGCGGGAAATATACAACACCTGATGTATTTTCCATTATATATTAATTCACTATATTTAGTTTTTATCGAATTGAACACATGTATGTTTTTTTCTTAACAGAATTTCATACGTCTTTGTCGTGTCAAAAGAAAGTACGAGTGTGGGTGTTAACAGTAATTGGTTTTTGTGTTTATTTATGTCGGACTTGTTTGGATGTACCAAATAGTTGTTCGATAAATATTTGTTTTGTGACGTCACGATTCATCAAAAGGTTCTATTGTTTTGTACCTCGAGTCTTTGATATCAACTACCTTATCTGAAAAGTAGCAAATACGAGAATATCTGGGAGGAATGTTCCTAAATTTTCATATGAATAAGAAAAATTAAGAGTTGTAAGTCTGTGTTTAATGAAAATAAATAAAGAATATTTTGTAAAAGAGAAAAAAAGAGTAAATAAAGTGTAAGTCAGGAATATTTTATTGTATATGGTTAGAGTTAAGTCAACATCAGGGATCCGAGAAGACTCACCTTCCCCTAAAGATTTTTGCGTAATAGATTTTGTGTTTAAGGGATTCCACTTATGTTGTTTGAATAAGATACGTCTTGATGTATTTTTGATTGCAGACTCAACTTGTTTCTGAGGAATTATGCTGAGTGCTTCCAATTTAGCTTAATATGTTTAAACGTAGTCAATTTACTATAATGTGAAACATTTATAATTGCTCCTTAACAGATTTTTTTTTAAATAAAATTCTATATCAAATATTTTTATTAGTTTAATACAGACATATGAAAAATAGCAGATGGATTTTTTAAACAATACCAGTTGTCGTGTATACATATGGTCATTATACAGTGGGATGATTTATACTCATTTGTATTTTAAGTACTAAAAAAAGTAGTATATTTGATCTTTTAATATAAAGCATAATCCTATAGTATAAAATGTCCACATAATATTTTAATAATGTTGCAAATAAAGATATATAGTCAAAAACTCACCGTAGATCAATACCTTTTAACTTTACTCTGTACTTTCATTCGTCTGCTGATAACAACTTCATTGAAACAACTTTCTCTTATCAGGCTCTTTGAAATATTGCCGAGTTTTTGATATTTGGAAACAGGCGAGAATAAAATGAAATCCGAACAGGAATAAAGTTATTAAAATTTAACATTAAGAACTTAATTTGATTGTAGAACATTATAACATAATATATTATTTATATAACAAATGTTTGAAGTAAATGAAAGAGAACATAACATCTAGACCAGCTGTTCGCTTAAATTTAGTCAAAATACTTAATATGTACGGTGTATAGCTGTAATAAAGCTCGCGTAAAACTTCCTTATCTAAAAAATCTGAGGAATAAAGCAAATTATTTATATAGAAGAAGAAGATAAAGCAAGAAATTCT